CTCCTTTTCACCTGATGGCTGACTGGAGTCCTGTTTGGGTTTCTTCTCTGCTTTCAGGAAGGCCCAGTTAGGATATCCACATTGCTCTAGAGCCTGTTTTGTGTAGGATTTCTCCTTCTGCCTGGCTCCTGAGTTAGTGGGGATGCTGTCTGCTCTGTGATACAGAGTCCTGATGACTCCTAACTTGTGCTCCAAAGGGTGATGGGAGTCAAACTGCAAATACTGGTCTGTGTGGGTGGGTTTGCGGTACACCTCGGTTTGCAAATGTCCTCTATCAGAGACTGAGACCTCACAGTCCAAGAAAGCCAACTTGCCATTTTTTACATCTTCTCGTGTGAACTTGATGTATTTATCCACAGAGTTGATGTGGTCAGTAAAATGTTGGACTTCCTGAGATTTGATTTTAACCCAGGTGTCGTCAACATACCTGAACCAATGACTTGGTGGTGTCCCTGAAAAGGACATCAAGGCTCTCTTTTCTACCTCCTCCATGTACAGGTTGGCAACAATAGGAGAAACTGGAGACCCCATAGCACAACCATGTTTCTGCATATAATATTGCTCCCCATATGTGAAGTAGGTTGACTGCAGGCACAGTTTCAAGAGTTCACACAGTTGTTCTGTGGAAAGCGTGGTCCTGCTGCTCAGAGTGGTATCTGATTTTAATCTTGAACTGACCACCTCTACTGCATCATCAACAGGAATGCACGTAAAGAGAGATGTGACATCAAAAGAGACAATTGTCATGACAATCAGTCTTCATGATGACATCCCTCACCTTATCCACAAAGTCCATGGTGTTCTGTATGAGGTGTTGACTTGATTTGACTGATGCCATCTGCAACAACAAAATGAAAGAGGGTGAAGCAGAACAGCTCAGAATCAAGTTTCATCCTGCCTCAACAATGCCAAACCACCACCTTCCAACATCAGTAGAGAGGAGAGGGATGCACTCACCACTCTTAGCAAGGACAAAAACATCATCATTCTCCCAGCAGAAAAAGGAAGGTGCACAGTGATTTTGAACCAGAAAGACTATCATGAGAAAGTTATGACACTCCATAGTGACTTAACCACTTATGAACCTCTGAAAAGAGATC